GAAAACATAGCAGCGAAAACAATTAAGAGTCGTCTCCGACAAACCCAAAAGACAAAATAAATAATTGGTTTGGCAAGCTGTCATTCCTCGTTTACTTTCTTACACATGACTGAAAAAGTTAACCACTAAAGTGACATCTCCATCACAACATTAAACGCAACGTAAAATAAAATTAGCACTGTAGCTAAACAAATTTTAATACTTCACAACAAAATTCCATCAAGCAACAAATGTACCTACAATGTTTGTCCAAAAGCAACGAAAATTTTGCCCTCGCTGTTATTTGAAATAACAGTTCATTGTTTGGCTCGAACTTCCCGGGCCTCTGGCAAAAGGTGTGGGAGAAAAAGCGAATTGAAACTCATAAATATCAATTTTAATGTTAAATTAAAAAATAATAAAAAATAACTTTGTCGCTTTCCCTTTGACATTAATAAAGTTGACGAATGCGAAAAATATGTACAAATTGTTGGAATATATTTTCTCAGTATTCATTACCGAAATTAAATTTCACTATTGTAGCTACAACTGCATTATTGAAATTGCTTGCAGCAGCTAGAAGCTGTTAAATAGAATTTCCAGTGTCCCTTTAATGTGTTATTGAATTTAAACCGTCACGCACGAACGTGATAATAAATTCGTTTCTAATTTAACAAGCTTGTGTCTCTCGTTTCCATTACTTGCGTTGTGTTGATTAATACCTTATCAATACAAATAGTATGAGACTGTATGGAGCGTGAACTATACGGCATGTTGAGAAAACAAGTCAACCGTCAAATTATTAATGTGACTTCCCCTCCTTGCTCCGGCGTCTAGATATTAGTGGCCCTGATTATTTTATAGCTTAGCTACTTTCAATCCAATTTAATTTAGCCGGCGTTATATAAACCTCATCAAGCATCTCCGGAAAAAGAGCTGTACCGTCAGTATCAAATGGAGTCTACGGCCACAGGGGAAATTTTCACTAATGTTGTACGTCGAGGTCCCCGGCGAGTCCCGCGTGACCCAAACTGTTACCGGAACAAAAAGTTTACGCCACACTCATCACACGATACGTACTTTATCAATTATCACGCCATTTTACTGCCATTATTTGGATTACGCCGTTCGCTCACACGTTGATGCTCTTTTGCGCCAGCAAAAACACGTACAGCGGCAACGGCGGAATTTTTTAATGGGCTGAAAAGAGGCCGAACGTCCGCTTTGCACGCTTTTAATTCTGTGATTGAACAGTCGCCGCTGTGATTCTGTTTTTATTTATTTTGTTTTAGTTGGGGCCGTTTTAATTTATGCCGGTGGAGAGGCGCTAGGATTTGCACTGATACGGACGGGCCACCCCGGAAACGGTGGATTCAAAATGGAGTTTAAAATATACAGGTTTCTGTATGCATGAATTATTAATTTTGTTTCATTAGGGAAGAGGATTTTTGCCTTTTTCTATGGAAATTAAATGAAATCGTTATAAAAGTGCTGCGTACGACAACTAGAATTGCAAATTTTCTTTATGTTTTTTGCGGATGCGAAGTACAGGGAACGACGTTCCCAGGCGCTTTAATGATTTTTTTGTTCAATTTATAACGTTACAAGTAATGTAAATAAAGCTTCTTATTAAATTGAGTTCCGTTGAAGTCCTGAAATACATTTTAATTAAATCGTCAGCTAGACCATCAGCACGGGGCTAACATGTCATGTTTTCAGGGGTCGGGTTAATTTTGACCTTTACCGTCACGCTCTGTGTTCGACTTAAGCTCTGCATTTAACACATTCTGAATGTTCGTGCGGTCTGAATTGTAATACTAATAGGTCTATAATCGCATTGTCATACTTCAGCTATAGGAACTTGGACATAAGCAATCCACAGCAGGGACCGTCCAACATTGAATGAGAGCTTTGAGTAGTTAGTTTAAGATTAGTCCGTTGGTCATTTTCTATGTGGCTGTTTGCAACCTGCTTTTCCTGTCCTTTCACCATCTATTGTCTGTCCTCCGTCGTCTGTCTTCCAACATTTATCTTCCATTAACTTTCTTCCAACACCTATCTTCCTTATTTGTCTGTCTGCCATTGTCTTTTACCTAACATCTGGCTCCCTTTGTCTGTATTTGGTCTTATATTCTTAGTTATCCTTTCTCGTCATCTGTATTCCGTCATCTATCTTCTGTATTTTTAGCAATCCATCTTCCTTCTCTCTTTTTGATTCTCATCATTTCTCTTTCTTCTAACTTCTATTTTACGTCGTCGGGCTTTCGCTGTCTGTTATTAATTCTCTATCTCTCCCACGTTATCTGTTCTCAATCATATTTTTCCCGTCTGTCTTCTTCCCTATGTCTTTCGTCCACTGTCATCTATCTTCACTCGTCTAACTTTCACCCCTTTTTTCCAGAGTCTGTCATCATTATCTGTCGTCTCTTGTCTACCTTCCCCTGGGTGTATTCCCTTCTTTTTTTTCTGTTACTTGCTCCTAGTCATATCTCCTTTGTTTTTTGTCTTTTGTTATCTATTTCCAACCGTCTGTCCTTAGTCCTCCGTCTTCCGAGGTCTTTCTACATTTAACTTCCATCGTCTGTTTTTAGTCGTCTATCCCCAGTCGTCTGCCTTCTGTCGTTTATCTTCTGTAGTCTGTCTTCGGTCACTGCTCTTACCATTTTTTTTTCCAAATACTCCCTGACCTCTAGCTTCCATTTTATGTCATCTGTCTTTCTGTGTCTGTTACTAGTTCTCTCTCTATCTCCGTTTTGTCGTCTCTTATTTTTTTTCTCGTATGTCTTCTTTCCTATGTCTCCCGTCTTTTGCTATTTCTCTTCACTCGTTCGTCTAAATTGTTTATTCCTAGTCGTCTGCAGTGCGTCATTTTTCTTCCGTCGTCTCTACCTAAGCATGTCTCCTTAATTTTCTGTCTTTGGTTATCTCTCTCCATAATTCATTCTTCTTTCGTCAAATATTTATTTTCCATTACGTTCCTTTCAACATCTGTCATTTATCTTCCGTCGTCTGCCGTCTCTAATTTGTCTTCCTTTGCCTGCATTCGTACTTATCTCTTTCGCATCGTCTATATTCCGTCATCTGTTTTCAATCATCTATACCAGTGATCTTTCTTCCGTCATTATTCTTCTGTAGTCTATCTTCAGTCACTGTTCTTAGTAATCTATTTTCTATGTTTTTTTCAAAGACTTCATTTCTCTTTCTTCTAGCTTCTCTTTTACGTCGTTTGTCTTCCCTGTTTTGTCATCTATTTTCACTCGTCCGTCTAACTTCAATCGTCTATCCCTTAGTGTTCTTAGCCTATAGTGCATTGTGTTTCTTCCAAAGCCTGCCTTCAATGGTCTTTCTTCCAAAGTCTGCCTTCAATGATCCTTCTTCCAATGTCTGTGATCACTGTCTTCTAAATCTATCTTCCCTTGGATATTTTTCCTTGTTTTCCTACCGTCATCTATTCCTAGTCATGTCCCCTTCGTTTTCTGCCTTTCGTCATCTATTTCCAATTGTCCGTTCCTGGCAGTCTGTCTTTCGTCCTCTTTCATCCAACATTTATCTTTCATTATTTTCATTCCAGTATTTGACGTCCCTTGTCTGTCCTCCATCGTCTGTTTTCAGTCGCGTGTCTCTAGTCATCCCTTTTTCGTCATCTGGTTTCAACATCGTTTGTCTCTAATCGTCTATCTTTTCTCATTTATGTTCCATCGTCTGCCATCTCTGATTTGTTTTTCCTTGTCTGTATTTCGTCATTTATCTTTAGAAACCTTTCATCGTCGTCTGTATTCCATCATTCATATTTAATCGTCTTTCCCCAGTTGTCTGTATTTCACTCTTTATCTTTTGTAGTCTGTTTTCCGTCACTGTTTTTAGTATTCTATCCTCAATTTTTTGCAAAGACTTTTTTCTTCTTTTAATTTCTATTTTACGTCGTCTGGCTTTCCCTCAGTCGTCTATAGGGCGTTGTCTTCCTTCCAATGTCTGTCACCACTATCTGTCCTCTGTTACACCTTCCCTTGGATATTTTCCCTTGTTTTTCTTCCGTTACCTGTTCCTAGTCGTGTCTCCTTCAATTTATGTCTTTCGTCATCTAGTTCCAATCGTCTGTTCGTAGTAGTCTATCTTCCGTCGTGTTTCTTCAAACATTTATCTTCCATTTCCTTCATTCCAGCATCTGTCTTCTCTTGTCTGTCCTCTATCATCTGTTCTCAATCGTCAGTCTAAAGTGTCATTCCTTTTTTGTCGTCGTTTTCAGTCATCTAACTACAACATTGTCTGTTCTAAATCATCTATCTTTCGTCATTTATCTTCTGTTGTCTACCATGTCCAATTTATTTTCATTTGTCTGTATTTCGTCATATATCCCTAGTTATCTCTTTCTCGTCGTCAGCATTCCTTCATCCATAGTTAATCGTCTATCTCCAGTCGTCTGTATTCCGCTTTTTGTCTTCTGTAGTTTGTTTTCGGTCACTCTTTTCAATATCTTATCTTCAATTTTTTTCAAAGACTCTTCATTTTTCTTTCTTTTAGTTTCTATTTTGCGTCGTCTAGCTTTGCCTCAGTCGTCTATGGTGCATTATCATTCTTCCAATGCCTGTCATCACTATCTGTCTTCTATTACACCTTCCCTTGGAAATTTTCCCTTGTTTTTCTTCCGTTACTTGTTCCTAGTCATGTCTCCTTCAATTTCTGTCTTTCGTCATCTAATTCCAATCATCTGTCCCTGGTAGTCTGTCTTCCATAGTCTTTCTACAGACATTTATCTTCCATTTTCTTCATTCCAACATCTGTCTTCCCTTGTTTGTCCTCTTTCATCTGTTCTCAACCGTCGGTCTCAAGTATCATTTCTTTTTCTTCGTCGTATTCAGTCATCTAGCTACAACATCGTCTGTCCTTAATCATCTATCTTTCGTCATTTATCTTCTGTTGTGTGCCCCCAATTTGTTTTCATTTGTCTGTATTTCGTCATATATCCCTAGTTATCTCTTTCTCGTCGTCTGCATTCCTTCATCCATGTCAATCGTCTATCGTCAGTCGTCTGTATTTCGCTTTTTGTCTTCTGTAGTTTTGATTTCGCTCAATCTTTTCAGTATTCTATCTTAAATTTTTTAAAAGACTCCTCATTTTTCTTTCTTTGAGTTTCTATTTTGCGTCGTCTAGCTTTGTCTCAGTCGTCTATAGTACGTTGTCAGTCTTCCAATGTCTGTCATCACTATTTGTCTTCTGTTACACCTTTTCTTGGATATTTTTCCTTGTTTTTCTTCTATTACCTACTCCTAGTCGTGTCTCCTTCAATTTCTGTCTTTCGTCGTCTAGTTCTGATCGTTTGTTTCTGGTAGTCTGTCTTCCGTTATCTTTCTTCAGACATAAATCTTCCATTTCCTTCATTCCAGTATCTGTCTTCTCTTGTCTGTCCTCTATCATCTGTTCTCAATCGTCGGTCTCAAGTGCCATTCCTTTTTCGTCGTCGTTTGCAATCATCTAGCTACAACATTGTCTGTCCTTAATCATCTATCTTTCGTCATTTATCTTCCGTCGTCTGCCAGTCTGCCATATCCAATTTGTTTTCATTTGTCTGTATTCCGTCATATATCCCTAGTTATCTCTTTCTCGTCGTCTGCATTCCTTCATCCATATTCAATTGTCTATCGCCAGTCGTCTGTATTCCGCTTTTTGTCTTCTGTAGTTTGTTTTCGGTCAATCTTTACAGTATTCTATCTTCAATTTTTTTCAAAGACTCTTCATTTTTCTTTCTTTTAATTTCTATTTTGCATCGTCTAGCTTTGTCTCAGTCGTCTATAGTGCGTTGTCACTCTTCCAATGTCTGTCATCATTATTTGTCTTCTGTTACACCTTTCTTTGGATATTTTTCCTTGTTTTTCTTCTGTTACCTACTCCTAGTCGTGTCTCCTTCAATTTCTGTCTTTCGTCGTCTAGTTCTGATTACCTGTTTCTGGTAGTCTGTCTTCCGTCGTCTTTCTACAGATATTGATCTTCCATTTCCTTCATTCCGGCATGTGTCTTCCCTTGTCTGTCCTCTATCATCTGTTCTCAACAGTCGGTATCAAGTATCATTTCTTTTTTGGCGTCGTATTCAGTCATCTAGCTACAACATCGTCTGTCCTTAATCACCTATCTTTCGTCATTTATCTTCTGTTATCTACCCCCAATTTGTTTTCATTTGTCTGTATTTCGTCATATATCCCTAGTTATCTCTTTCTCGTCATCTGCATTTCTTCATCCATGTCAATCGTCTATCGTCAGTCGTCTGTACTCCGCTTTTTGTCTTCTGTAGTTTGTTTTCGGTCAATATTTTCAGTATTCTATCTTCAATTTTTTTCAAAGGCTTTTCATTTTTCTTTCTTTTAATTTCTATTTTGCGTCGTCTAGCTTTGTCTCAGTCGCTTATAGTGCGTTGTGACTCTTCCAATGTCTGTCATCACTATCTGTCTTCTGTTACACCTTTCCTTGGATATTTTTTCTTGTTTTTCTTCTGTTACCTACTCCTAGTCGTGTCTCCTTCAATTTCTGTTTTTCGTGGTCTAGTTCTGATCGTCTGTTCCTAATAGTCTGTCTTCCGTCATCTTTCTTCAGATATAAATCTTCCATTTACTTCATTCCAGCACCTGTCTTCTCTTGTCTGTCCTCTATCATCTGTTCTCAATCGTCGGTCTCAAGTGCCATTTCTTTTTCGTCGTCGTTTTCAGTCATCTAGCTACAACATTGTCTGTCCTTAATCATCTATCTTTCGTCATTTATCTTCCGTCGTCTGCCATATCCAATTTGTTTTCATTTGTCTGTATTGGGTCATATATCCCTAGTTATCTCTTTCTCGTCGCCTGCATTCCTTCATCCATATTCAATTGTCTATCGCCAGTCGTCTGTATTCCGCTTTTTGTCTTCTGTAGTTTGTTTTCGGTCACTCTTTTCAATATTCTATCTTCAATTTTTTTCAAAGACTCTTCATTTTTCTTTCTTTGAGTTTCTATTTTGCGTCGTCTAGCTTTGTCTCAGTTGTCTATAGTGCGTTGTCAGTCTTCCAATGTCTACCATCACTATCTGTCTTCTGTTACACCTTCCCTTGGATATTTTCCCTTGTTTTTCTTCCGTTACCTGTTCCTAGTCGTGTCTCCTTCAATTTATGTCTTTCGTCATCTAGTTCCAATGTTCTGTTCGTAGTAGTCTATCTTCCGTCGTGTTTCTTCAAACATTGATCTTCCATTTCCTTCATTCCAGCATCTGTCTTTCCTTGTCTGTCCCCCATCACCTGTTCTCAATCGTAGGTTTCTAGTGTCTCGTCTGTCTTCAGTCATCTATCTTTCGTCACTTATTTTTTGTGGTCTGCCATCTCCAATTTGTCTTCCTTTGTTTGTATTTCGTCATATATTGCTTGTTATTTCTTTCTCGTCGTCCATATGTCCTCCGTCCATATTCAATCGTCTATCGCTAATCCTCTGTATTCCGCTTTTTATTGTCTGTAGTCTGTTTTCAGTCACTGCTTTTAGTATTCTATCTACAATTTTTTTCAAACACTATTCATTTTTTTTTCTTTTATTTTTTATTTTGTGTCGTCTGGCTTTCCCTATCCTTTATTAGCTCTCTATATATCTCCCCTTTGTTATCTGTTACAAGTCATATTTTTTCTCGTCTATCTTCTTTTCCATAGCTCCCATCTTTTGTAATCTGCCTTCACTCATCTGTCCTCATCTTCTATAGTATGTGCGTTGTCTTTTTTCCAACATCTGCCTTTAATCGTCTTTCTCCTAGTGTCTGTCATCCCCTTGCTCTTCTTTCGTCGTCTGTCCCTCGTCATGTATCCTTCGTTTTCTGTCTTTGGTTATCTATCTCCGTTCATCTCTCCCTGTCTTTCATCATCTGTCTCCAGTCCTAGCATGTGATAATCATATATCTAGTAAAAATGCTTCGGTTCATTAAATAATGTTAAATATATTTACAATTGTATATGTTCAATATTTCCTCAATAAATAACATATGTAGCATTAAAATGTGCTTTATTTAAACGCAAAACAAAATTTCCGCAGAACTGATACTTCGCACTATTCATGAAAACCGAAATGCAGAATTATTGATCTAAGCAAATTGCAGAGAAAAAAACTGTCAGGTGTGGGATTCGAACCTACGCTCTCGCTCGAGAATCAGAGCTTAAAGCTGACATGTTATACAGCTCGGCCAACCTGACCGTACTTAATAGCCATATTTGGTATTTCACATATAAATCGATGAAAAAAAACTGTCAGGTGTGGGATTCCAGCCCACGCTCTCTTTCGAAAAACAGAAGTCAAATTTGACGCCTTGGACTGTTGTGTTTAATTGTTTTATTTGGTATTTAATTTATAAATCTGTACTTCTCTACTAATCAATTCGCAGAGAAAAAACCTGTCAGATGTAGGATTCGAACCCACGCACTCTCTAGAGAATCAAAGCTTGAAGCTGCGGCGTTATACCGCTAAGCCAACCTGACCGTAGTTAATTGTTGCATTGGTATTTCATTTATAAATCGGCGAAAAAACTGTCAAGTGTGGGATTCCAACCCACGCTCTCTTTCGAGAATCAAAATTCAAGTTTGACGTCTTGGACTGTTGTGTTTAATCGTTTTATTTGGTATTTAATTTATGAATCTGGACTTTTATACTGGAATAGACCTCACTCGAAGGGGTCAGGTCAGCCAAGCACAAGGCGACGTCAAACGCCTGGTAAAAAGTAGTGGAGCTTCTAGCTTAGTTCAAATGAGGTCAAACTGAGATAAAAGCCCCACTACATAATCATTGTGTGTCTTCGGTCGTTCTTCATTTATCTTTCTTCTAAAATTTATTATCTTTTAAGTATTTTAAACATTATCGCAAAAACTTCTCTTCCTTTTTTTAATTCCGAGAATACAACTATGTTGCAGGGTTACACCAAGTTCTAAAACCAGCTTAAAAAATTGCATTTTAAATCTGGGCCGAGATTTCTCTAAAAAATTAAAACCGTCAATTATTAAAAAACGCATCGTGGGACACATTCAGCGCGAACAATCCCCACGAAGCTCCCTTAATTTTTGATCGGGCTTCATGCTCGCAAAGAGCGCTTTGATGTGGACTGCGCCCCATTTCACTCCGAGACGATTTCGAAATTCACCTGGATTTGCAACGGCACCTCTGGAGTTGGAGGGTAATCGATGTTGTTTACTTGAAGTGCTCGTTCCGACGAATCGCTCCAGACGTGTTAAAAGACTTGAGCACGAAACAAAAATCCGGAGCGAAGTAGTTTCCTCAAAAATGACGTTCGAAAGTTGAGAGCGACGGAGGAGTCGCAGCGGTGGCATCCACGAGCGAGTTTAATTTTTCAAGACGAAGTTGATTGTGTTGTTCCGACGACAAAACAGAAGGAAGAGAGTTTAACGTCTCGGTAGGTGATAAATGTAATTGGTTTCTCATCAGGCTGAAAGCCTTCGCAGGGACAGGTGGAAATTTCGGCTCCTGGGGAACAATGGCAGGTACACGTCGCGTCCATTTGCTTTATTGGATATGCAGCTCGTGGCGGATATGGGCGCAAACAAACACTGATTATGGTTTGGATGTAGTCGAAACGGGGAATAATTTATGATAGTGCAAATTATTTAGAGCTTGAGCTGGGCAAAATTCAGAATAATTCAAAGCTCAACACAAGAAATTTCATTGTTAACAGTTTTTTTTAAGAAAGGTTTTTGACGTTTGGTGTATTTAGTAGCCGTACAATATTTTTCGTTGAATAATATAATAGTTGTTTCAAGTTTCTGCGGTGAATGTTTATAAATAAATAATTCCGAAACAAAGTTAAGTCTTCTGTGAAACATCCAATACTCGAGTGAGAAAACAAAATTATTTAAGAATAATGTTTAAAGGCGTTATTAATATTTCAATTCGGATAAACACAGTTACGTTGCAGCGATATTAATGCAAGTTAAGGGGATTCGCTAGACGAGGTATAACATTTTTTTGGTTTTTTGTATGAAAAAATGATATTAATATAGATGTATCATACATCAGACTGCAGCTTTTTTCATATTCTAGAGCGCAGAGACCAGTTCAATCCACTAAAAAAATATGGCTGAGAAATATCGTAAAAAAAGCACCATTGTATGTTTTCTTTTCAAGTTTTTTGAGTCATAACCATCATAGAATCGCTTGAAAATTCGCACATGGATAAAACATCACTTTTTACAGGGCGCAGAGTCATTAAATGATTGTTAGTGGTACAATTTGTTTAAATAATAATGTGTTTATTAAAATCAAAATATACCACATATTAACGCAAAATACGTCGAATAATTTTAACAGGAATATCAGAGGAAAATTAATGATCTATTGGTTAGCAGAGTTTTTAACAAAAACTAACAATTATTGAAAAAAATGGGTATCAATTCGACAGAACTTGAGCAGTTAGTTCAGTACTTTGCCGATAGGAGCGCCACTAAAATTTACGGAAGCGACTTTCCAGGTAAAACCCTTTATGGCCTGCTCTACCATAAGTTGATTGTTAGAGTTCTCGGCTGATTTTTCTAATTTATGGCAAGGAACTCAGTTTTATAACAAGCCGCCAGGACCGGCCCTAGTAATCTATTGTTAAGGAAATTAACTTTTACGCAATGAGGTACTATCATAAAACCGAATTAAAACTGGGGAACTATAATATTTTTACTCCACTCAGAATCCTGAATTCAATACACATGATTACTAAAAATTCATTGTAATATTATTGTTAATATATATTTTGCTTTGTTAATTAATAAAACTAATAAACATATTTATCACAATAATAAAAAATATATAAAATACAGCTTTTGTTTAACACGTATAAGTAGCTAAGTGTATCTACTACTTATCCCAGAAAGGAGGTGTTTTAAAAAGTTCCTACGCCCAGTAACTTCTCCCTTCTTTTTTTACTCGAAAAAAGTGCTCGTATATGTTTTCATTTGCCGAGAAATCATTTTCAAAATATATTTATAGTAAAAATATGCAAGTCTTGGTGATGAAAAATGTACTCCTAATAAATTATTAAAGTACATAAAAAAATAGAAACAAATTTTATTTATTTTAAAAACATCTCTCGCAAAGGCAGGTTCCTCTTTCTTCTTGAATCAGTTTATCTGCCATCTTTTTACATATTTCTTCGTGTTTTTTTTTCTATATTAATTCGTTTGGGTGTCCACACAACAAAATAAACTAGTGAAATACCCGTAACAAGCATTGGACTTGAAAGTAGTAATCATGATTTTTTTTTACTTTCAATTCTCTGTCTGTCAATGTACAAAATTTGATTATTTTTTTTCTAACCGCTTTTTCGGGAGACAAATCTTGCGATTTTGAAGGGCATTTAAATTCAACTAATGCACTCATATCCTCTAGAATCCTGGCTGGACTAGCAGCCAAGTAATGAAATTGTTTTCAAATAAACAAGCCACACCGTTCAGTTTTTATACTTTTATTTATTTCAAAACACTTGACAGCTTTTTCCTCACTTTGTTGTCCATAGTATGTATGACTATTACCTCTAAATGTACTGTACAACAGAGACTCCACAGTTTTAGCTGTTGTTGTAGTCGGTCTAAGTTTGTAAATACGTCCAAA